TAGGTTGTAGATGGAACACCTGTAACCTAGTGATTTCTTGAAATATCCTTAACCGGTAAGAATACTGGAGATTTAACCATGTTCGGATGGTTTCGGACCCTCTCCAAGATCCAGATGCACCCTTCTTCCAGGGCCCCCTCTTCCGGGTGATTAAGTCTTTTAATGGCCCTTTGATTTCTACCATCCCGGGAAGGCCTTAGCTCACCCCCCGTTCAAGTCTTCCCTGAGAAGGGGGAAACAGGATGCGCCACGGTGGACGATCCCCTTCTATTTCTTTTAATGAGCATCTTTTAGTCCCCAATCAGTTTGACGGTACCGGCTGATTCCCCGACACCGGTCAAACATCATGGGCCCGTGTAAGTACGGTTCGAACCCTCTTCCAGGTCCAGCCCTCTTGCAGGCATACCCTCTTCCGGGCCCCTCTTCCGGGTTTTATATTTTTTCTATTATACTGAGCAAGACCGGTGTAGTAACCAGCGTGCCAGGTCCGGGCCTGTGTCTCAGTTGGCTTATCCGAGTGGATCCGATCCACCCGGGAAGCCCTCCTAGGATAGGTTCGACCTATCGATTCTGCTGCTACCATGTAGAGTACTGAATGTCATCGGTTTGATTGATAATAAAGTAGGCCTTGCCTAGTATTACAATCATTTGTAGAACTTGCGAAAATGATGGGAATTCCAGGTTCTTTCTACCGGTACCCCTTCAAGAGTTTCTAACCGGTAGGTCCCCGGGCGAATGATAGCCCTCACCCGGTAAGGCCCTTCCCAGTTTTTGGCCAGCTTTCCTCCGTCTCCCGGTTTACTAGCCTCCCTTCTTCGCAGGACTTCATCGCCGACTTGAAAGTATCGCAGTCCAACCTTGTTGTCGTGGTACTTTTTCACGACTTGTTGATATGTGCTCATTCTAACTTCCGCGACCATTCTCCGCTCTTCGACCAAGTTGAGTTCGGCCAAGTGGTCTTCCTCATTCTGCTGGGGTTGATAGTTTGATTCCCGAAACGTTGGGAATTCGGCTTCGATGGGCAGCCTAGCCTCACACCCATAGGTTAGAGAGAATGGAGTTTCCCCATGAGCCCTCCTGGGTGTTACTCGGAACGCCCAGATGATATGTGGTAGCTCTTCCAGCCACTTGTTTCCTGCTTCTCCCAGCCATTTCTTCAGACCATCCACAATGGTTCTGTTTGCATTTTCAACTTGGCCGTTTCCCTGGGGGTACGCCACCGAAGAGCGGTTATGCTTGATCCCGAAGCCCTCCAAGTACTCGGTGAATCTTGGATTTCGGAATTGTGGGCCGTTGTCGGTGATTAGGTTCATGGGAGCCCCAAACCTTGTGATGATGTTCTTCCAGATGAACTTCTTGCATTGCTACGTGGTGATATTGGCCAAGGCTTCGGCCTCGATCCACTTGGTAAAGTAATCGATGGCCACGATCACAAACTTCTTCCCTCCCCGGGCGATTGGGAATGCTCCAATGATATCCACCCCGAACCTAGCAAATGGGATGACATTTGATACGAGGTGGTAGTAGGTTGCCGGCCTACCGGGGTATTTGTAGAATACTTGGCATGTTCGGCATTTTTGAACGTACCTCTCACAGTCCTGGACAATTGTCGGCCAGTAATATCCCAACAAGATAATGCGCTGGGAAAGGGTGCGGGACATTTGGTGTGCTGCGCATACCCCTTCATGCACTTCTGCTATGACTCGCTCAGCTTCCCGGTTGGTGAGGCACCTCAGGAGTGGTCCTCCGAATGCCCTTTTGTACAGCTTCCCATCCAGGACCTGGAACCGTGGTGCCCTGAGCTTCACTTTTCTTGCCCGGTCATCTTGTTCCGGCAAGGTCCCGTTCATCAGATACTCCATCAGATCATACATCCAGTGATCATCCGCCCCGACCAAGTTTGACCGGTCA